GATGTCAGGTGGCAGTCAAGTGTTGCAAGTCATTTTCACACCATCCCGGTACTCACGTGTTCGAATCTCCACATCGCTGCCGAACCGCCCTATCTTTATTGTACCCCTCGGAAAGCTCTTCTATTGAGCCCATCTCCCTTCCGGAAGATTGACACCACTATGGTCTACTCAGGAAGCGAAAAATCAACGTCAGTTCGACAACGGTGAATGTGTGTATGTGTGCGTCGAGGATGCTGTGCAAAACTTGACCAACGCCTACTGGAAATCATGCATCCAATAAGGCAACACTTTTTGCTGTCCTCGTTTCGCTCCGGATGAAACAAGCTAGAGTCGTAGTTCTATAGTGCTCCGCCATTGCATGTCTGTGCAAACATGCAAATTACTGACCGATTCCACATTGACATATTGTAGTGAGAATTTGAATTCTGCCGGAGCTCATTCGCATCAAATGTTACTTCAAGTGAATCCAACCAATCGCATTCCAGTGGGAAGTCCACAAGATGATTGGTGTTTCGGCCGTCAAACGTCACCGATTGGATCGGGTCTGGGTAAACCCCGTCCAGTTCGAATAAACTCATTTCTCCGAAAACAAACGAAAGTACTTTTTGAGTGATTTACCGAGCGCGGGTGAAGTTTCTTTGGGGTGGGGCTCGCTTTTCGCCCCCCCCCCCCCCCCNCCCCCACCCGCTGCCCACCCGGGAACGTTATGTCCGTGATCTTTGGTCTGGTGTGCGTCATGGACGCGAAGGATCGAACCCGGGGTGATTGGCCTCTATCGGTTGTGTAAGGAAGCGACTCATGTTAAGATGGATCGATAAATCGGTCACCATACCCAGATGTGAATGTTGGGATGATTCATTGCATGGGTGGATTTCGTCTACACCCTTAATATCCTAGTGAATAAATTCCATTAGGGCCGTGATTCCCTCTTATAACACCGATTCCTTTGAATCAGATGCGATTGTCCACGTACTTCTGGCAATAAAATGCACCCTTGACAAGATCTTAACAGTGATGCAAGGATACAGTTAACTAATTAACAGTATTTCGGCTGAATAGTATGATCAAATTTGAACCTATTCACTAGCTAACGGAAACCACATTTTCTCTGTCATTCCCGGATTGACTGTTACATTCTATCCACAATAACAGTGGCAGTGCTCTGTCACCTGCAGCTTCTCCCTTCGCTCCTCAGCTTCATCACATAGGTTCTTATCCTTATTATTCATTGGTCAACCCGTTGCATCAAATATATATATCCTCATCAAGGGGATGAGAAACGCTTCCATCTATCCTAACTATGAGGTCCCTGGACAGTTTGGTTGATGTATTGAGTCGATCGTCGAAGCAGGTGTACACTATTTCTAGACTTTGTAGCTCACATGACCTTTATTCCGCCAAATCGAAAGCTTTTATCCGATAATCGGATCCGATTCCTTACCACTTACGTCTGATGATAGTTGCATTGTTACCGTTTTATAAACAAGTTTTTGGCACACTTTTAGGTTATACAAATCTTTTGGTTATTTTACTCCCCCTGCTTTATTCATTTGTTATCTCCTTGGTAGATTCATGCTTGCATTGTGTGTGTGTGTCTGTGTGCTACAATCTCGAGAACAGACAGACTGTGTGTTCCAATGATTTTACACACGGAAAAATCGAATTTCAAAAGGTTTGATAAATTGAATAACAGCGCTTCTTTCGAGCTTTCACACCTAATGATTCGTTTTAACGACAGGTTCACGGTTCTCTTGACAACACTTTGTGAACGATTGGCTTGGGAATACCCGTCACATTATGTGAATCGTGTTTTTGGGTTTCATCGCTATTCCAATTGCCGATGATGAAATTTAGAGATTTAGTTGTGCGAGAACGGACAAATGATAGTTGCATTTCCCGATTGTGGAAGATGGTTAATTATGATATTAAGCAATTATTTATTAATTATTCTAGGTATAGGTGTTTGGGATACATCAGTCTTATCGGTAAAAATTTGCTTAACGATTTATTTTGCCGACGACCAAAACGAAGTGACAAATCGATGCCGTGAATAAGTAGCTATATGCATGCATGCGTCATCATTATCGTACAGCGAAATACAGTGAAGCGAACTTCACCAACCGCTGCCAAACTCGCAATACATACAAAAATAGTGGTGATATGTAAGATGGACAGGCATCAGGCATAGTTTGGCGGAGAGAGATAGAAAGTGGACCTCTATGATCAACACACAATGCGCAACCTAAGTGTGCTTACATACGCTTTCGAGCATGCTGACTTGATAGATAGTGATAACAAGAACACCACTGCCGTCGATTCGTTGCTATATTCTTCAATGCTTCCAAACAACCAGTTGCAGAGTCTTTTGGATCCCAACCTGGAAGGCTAGAGAAATCTACCGTACCTAATCATTCTGTGCATTTCTTCATGTCTCGTCTGCACGTCAGCTGTTCACATNCAGCGAGTAAAGCACGGTGTGGCAGAAGACAGCTGGGCATACGCAATACGTGTCCTGTTCAGCGAAGCCTACTAATCCGAATTCAGTGTGCTAGTAGGTTTATCCCCGGTAAACTCCTAAACACATGACGACTCTCCGTAAAGAGTTTGGAATCGAAGTATGACTAACACTTTGGTGGCGATCAGGATTAAACTTATCTCGCTGTTGTTTGCGCATTCGTTGCGAGATCCCTTCTTAAAATCAGGAACAATCAGTAATTCACTCCAGGATGACGGAATACACTCTTGCGACCACATGTGCATTACCACTGGAACAAGTGGTCGATCTCCATAGATTACGTTGTTTGGGGCATGTGTTATGCATGTCACCAAATAGGTTGCCACGGCGAGCGATGTTTGCCGAGGTAGGTAGTAGGTGGAATAAAGCCAACAGTGGTTAAACGAAGACCTGGCATGAGGGTATGAAAACCCTTACTAGGATTCTGGGTCACATAGGTTCTGTTAAATTCCCTGGATGGGGACCTCGGGATGATGGTCACCAAGGATTAGATACACTGAGTGATATGACTGGGAGTCGTAAACAGTGGCATTCGTGTATCTTCTCGATTTCTTTGCAACATGAATTCAATGAAATTCTCAATTTTCTCTTCGATCATACTTTCAATCTTTCCTGTCTTTCTGCTACTGTTCACCTAAATGGACAGCTAAAAGACTGCAACCAAAACCCACGTACGAATGTGCATGGTTATTGGTTGTACAAACTGAAACTGAAAACATGTGCAATAAGTCGGCGATAGAGCTTACGACGATACGAACCTCATCTTGAAAAGAGTAAGGCAACACATACCGATCAAATTCTAAACTTCAAAAGTAATCACCCACACAGCCACAAACGATGCTGCGTTAAAACCCTGTTCGGAAGAATCCA